TTCTGGAGCTTGGAAATCCTAAGTCAAAATATTGACAGGGCCAGCCTCCATCTAAAGTCTCTAGGGAAGAATCTTCCTTCCTTTGTCCCAGCTTCTGGGGGCTCCTGGCAGTCCCTGGCATTTGGCAGTGTAACTCCAGTCTTTCCTTGGTCTTCACATGGCACATTTCCCCTTGTGTTTGCTCTGTGTCTCTGTATGTGTCCAGGTCTTCCTCTCCTTATAAGGATACCAGTCAGTGGGTTTAGGACCAACCCCAAGTCAGTGGACTTCATCTTAACTAACTATATCTGCAAAGATCCTATTGCCACATAAACTCACATTGGGAAGTTCTGGGTAGATATGAACTTTGTGGGGATTGGGGGGGGGGGGGGGAATCCCTGTTCGGCCCACTATAGTAATCAAGGTAAATAATATCGTGATACAACATCTAAAAAAATTGGAACGAATGCAAAAATCCATGATGAACAAGATATCATTTTTGTAAACAGCATCTGATGACTGGAATTAGGGTAAGGCAAGTGAAACGAGTTGCACAAGTACAGAGCTGGATGGATCCTCGCTTTACTTAAAATTTTAATATTTTCATGGGTTTTTCACACGGAGTTTTAAAAATATTGTGCTGCAGTTTAACTTGATGACTGAGATTCTGGCACCCTTATTTCACCCACGGTGAATGTGTCACTTGTTGCATCCCTGTCCTGGCCCTCGTTTGTCACAGCATGATGCTTGGGATCCAAAGACAAGCACCCAAGAGAGGGAACCAGGGACAAGCTGTATTACCTTTTTTAGGTTTTGTGGCTAGCATGGAAAGTCACATTGAAGTCCAACACATTCTGTTCATTACAAGTGAGTCACTAATCGGAGGGAAATTTGAGTCGATGGAATGGCAAGGAATTTGCAGGTATGTTTTAAATTTAGCACGCACATATGTCTTTTCTGTGGTGTTCTTCTACATACACTGATCTTTCACTTAGGAATGGATTCCACCCTACTTCTCGTGCTGTTGGTACAATCTGGGCGTGGTGGCTGTGGGAGGCTTATCCCGAAATCAGACCATAGAAAAGTGACCTTGAAAGAGAAGGTCCTAAATCACCATTGTGCCACTTTCCTAACACCAAAACCTTCAGTCTCGTGCTGTTTCTTATCAAGTTGAAACTCGTATGCCTGTTTTGTTTTTTTTTTAAGTTACTCATTTGCGAGAACAAGTGAGCAGGGGAGGGGCAGAAAGAGGGGAAGAGAATCCCAGGCAGGATCCAAGCTGTCAGCACAGAGCCCAACATGGGGCTTAATCGCATGAACCGCAAGATCACAACCTGAGCCAAAACCAAGTGTCAGACGCTAAATGGGCTGAGCCACTCAGGTGCCCCTACTTTTTTTAATTTTAAACTAGTAGGCATGTGTGTCCGTTATTATGCTCTTATCTTGCAAGCTTAGTGATGCTGGGGCCAAGTTTCTGTAATCACATTTCATCTTTGCCAGTTGCCCCCTGTTAGGGGGCGCTGGAGGGAGACTGGAAGACTGGATGACAAATAAGAGATTGCTCCTTCCTGTTTGTTTATGGAATTTTCTAGAGGCTTCCTGTCAAGTTGCAGCTTTCCTAAGAGGCCCACAAACACTTCAGTCTCAGCAGAGGCAGTTCCTTCCCACAGCAGCTCTGTCCAATTTGCAGCTTTACCAACACTTGGAGAGCCAGCTTTATAGTACCTGCCCCTCCCAGAGGCATTAGTGCCAGCTGGACACTTTTCTTCCTCAGGTATGAGTTTCAGCTCCATACTGTTTAAGTTTTTAAGTTTAATAATTTCACCTCTTCTCTGTTCCCTCATTTCCAAAAGTGCTAACCTAAGTACAATTTAAAAAAAATTTTAATGTTTATTTTTGAGGAAGACAGCAAGCAGGGGAGAGGCAGAGAGGGATGAGGGCACAATCTGAAGCAGTCTCCGGCTCTGAGCTGTTAGCACAGAGCCCGATGCGGGGCCCGAACTCATGAACTATGAGATCATGACCTGAGCTGAAGTTGGACGCTCAACCGACTGAACCACCCAGGCGCCTCAGTACAATTTTTAAAAAAAATTCTGTATGGATAACTGGTGTGTTTTCTCTTGCCCACTTGGACCTGACCGGGTAGTCCAGGAAACAAATCCTCAAAGAGGCGATTGGTAGGTTAGTTTGGGTTTAAATGCAGGTCTGAGCTTCTCACCGACAGGCAATGGGATTGCTGGTAATCCATGGTGTGGTGGCATGATGAATCAGATTATCTCCTCTATGTTTGAGGGCTTTAATGGCTGCTACACTTTGTTAGGCAGTAGTGATGATTATTTGGACTGTGGTGTGGCATGGATGCTTCTGAGTGCTCTGGAGGACTTACAGAAGAAAATTACAAGCTTAGGTCTTTAAATATTCAGCTCAGGTCATGGTCAGAGAACCAGTGAGTTCATTACAGCCCTAAAAGAATCTTCTATCTCATAATCAGAAGGCCGAGGTAGCAGGATGTTAGACAACATTTAATTGTGCAATTGCAGAATTAAAGCATTAATTGAATCCACAGCTTCTTGGTATCTCTCATGTGAAAGGACATTGGATAGAGAAAGAAACTAGGAGCGGGGTGGTTTGGATGAAGCTGAAAAGCTCGATTTCCTAGTCACTCTGAGACTCCCTTGCTTGTGAGAAGTTTGCTTCCCTAGGTCTGAAGAAACTGATCTTTCCTTGCTTGAAAATGTTGTAATAATGTCACCTGGGGCAGTTTGTATTCTCCTCAAGGCTCACCCTTTGCATGCTGTCTGACCCACTTGTTACCAGCAGACCCAGCGCTACGACCTCCTGAGACTCTGACGAAGAAAGCACGAACTCCCAAATGAGGAAGAACTAGCTTCCCAAAAGAACGGCAAGATTTTGCTGATACAGGGAGAAGCCTAGGGAATATGTGTGGAAGTATATTCTAAGAATGTGAGATGAAGGACAGACTATAACACTAGCATGGGCCAAACTGGTTTGGGTACACTTAGGTACTCTGGATTTGATGTGTTAGCGCATATGGCATATAGCGAGACGCGGCTCTGTAGCTGGTTGGTTAACTAAAACAAACTCACTGGTGACCTACTTGCAATAAAGCTTCCCTGGCCTTATGTGGAGGGAATCCAAAGGCTTAGGGAGATGAGTGTTGGATTAGACATACCTTGTGTTACCTGCATACCATGCCTCACCTTCTCCAACTCCATCCCCTGGGAAGGCCAGATTAAAATAATAAACATTTAATATTTCACCATTTCTGAGGGTCACGATTGGTTTAGCAGGGTCGTTGTGGCTCAGGGTCTGTGATGAGGTTGCAATCAAGACATTGGCTGAGAACACACTATCTAAAGGCTTGCCTGGAACTGAAGGATCTGTTTCCAACATGGTTCATTCTTGTGCTGTTGGCAGGAGGTCTGTTTGTTGCCACGTGAGCCTCTCTGTAGCAGCCTGAGTGTCTTCATGGCAGCTGGCTTCCCCTAGAGCGGGTGACCTAGAGCAGGAGAGAAAGAGCAAGGCAGAAAAGCTACAATGTCGTGCCCTAGCCTTGGAAGTGAGGTTGTATTCTATCGATCGGATAGACCAGCCATGATACGTGTTGGAGGAGACTATGCAAGGGCAGGAATACCAGAGGCAGGAACCACCAGAAAGTATCTTGAAAGCTGGCTGTCACAGCAGCTTTGCCTTCCACCAACCAACTTGGCCACCCTCCCTATCCAGAGACACTTGACGGGCTCCTGAGGGCTAGGCTCAGGGAGCCAGTCTGAGGTTGGTTGAGTAGAGAGGAGATTTGGTTTATGAATCTTGGGAAAACGTCAAAGTGATGGGGTAAGAGCTGTGTGAAAAACTTCAGTCAGAGAAATTAATGCTGTACATTTTCTCCCAACACTGAAGGTTATAGTAGGACCATGGATCTGTTTGGAGACATAGGTGACATTTCTTCAGACAGCGATGGGGACAATGAAAATTCCATTCCAGGGCAGCCTCATGTAAGTACACTCAGTAACCTCAACAGGTTCCAGTGTTGAAAGTTAAACAAGCTTCAAAGCCTGACGGGTCTGACTCCTATGGGGAGAGGACATTGATAATTGAGTAGCAGTCTGAAACATCTGATAAATGGGTGACTTTCTCAGCTGTGTTGGGAATTTGTGGATATTAGAAGGCACCGAAGGAACTGCTCAGAAGAGGGTAAACTTTAGGGGCTAAACTCTGAAAACTCATAATTTGAAAACCTTTGGCTTAAGTTTTTCTGAACCCAAACCTGTGCCAAAAAGCATGTGCTATTTGACTTCTCTGATTTTCTTTCTTTCCTTCTTTCTTTCTTTCTTTCTTTCTTTCGAGAGAAGGAGAGAGAGAGAATCCCATGAGGGGCAGAGAGAGGAAGAGAGAAACAGGGTACGAACTCACCTGTAGTGGGACTTGAACTCACAAACCGTGAGATCATGACTTGAGCCAAAGTCAGATGCTTATAAGCCACCCAGGTGCCCTCTTCTCTGATTTTAATAGTTACAAAGTACTGAGGGGTTGTACAATTTCACAGTTCTTTTGTTTAATGTCTTATGCAAACTAGATATGCCAACAAAATAAGTATTTTTTTCTGGTAATGCAGGCTTACAGGTCTTGTTTCCGATGGTGGTATTGTTGGCGGAGAGGATGAAATTTTAGGGAGAGACCTGGAGGGGTTACTGACTACTTTATTCCTAAAGTGGTGCCTGAATTTACTTCCTGTCACACCTTCATCTGCCTAGTATGGGAGAGCCGGAGCATTTCTTTCTATTTTTTTTATAAAATTCTTTTAACATTTATTTTTGAGAGAGACAGAGAGAGAGAGAGAGAGCACGCGCGCACACGCGCACATGCACAAGAGGGGGAGGGGCAGAGAGAGAGGGAGACAGAATCCAAGCAGGCTTCAGGCTCTGAGCTGTCAGCACAGAACCCAACACGGGGCTTGAACTCACACACCATGAGATCATGACCTGAGCTGAAACTGGATGCTTAACCAACTGAGCCATTCAGGTGCCCTCAGCTAGAGCATTTCTGATTTCACTTCAGGCTCTCACATTCTGATTCTCCTCTTAGGAAGAACGTGGAGTGTCTCAGGACCAACAGGAGGAAGAGCCGATTTCTGAAGGCAGAATAGAAATAGAAATCCCCAATGTCAACTCTGATTTGGGAAATGAATTGTACTTTGTTAAACTACCCAGATTTCTCAGCATAGAATCCAAGTAAGAGGACTGATTAAAGTTTTTTTTCAAGATATTAAATGAAAATAAGTGGAATATAAATGTTTTTTCTTATGAGTTGGCTAATCATAAAGATTAGAGATTCCTCATCTGAAAGGATGATGCAGGTGTTTTTCACTAGTGTAAAGCTGAAAAATGAGGTTGAGAAAGTTTGCTAGAGAAATCATAAATGTTCAGTGCGAAAGCCACTGTGACTAGAAAAGACCATGATCTTGGACAATAGTATTGGGTATTTTTCATGAAGCATCGTGAGTGTAAGCTCTTATGCAATTAAACATGATACTTTTCTTTAAAAATGGTGAAAGATGGACCATATGTTATTTATATTTCAGAAAATGTAATTCTTCAAATAAGACTTCGAATTATTAGTCACATTTGGATTTTATTTCAGATGTGTTAAAATCAAATTTCAAGAAAGTACACTAATTTGCATACTTGCTTGAAGTTTTACATGAAGTGACTTGTCTACTGTGACTTTTTAAAAACACCTTGGTGCATGTTGTAAAGATTATTATTATTTTATAGCATTAACAATATTCATTACTAGATATGGCTAACCTGAGATTAAAAAACCATTTTTAGACCTTTTGATCCTCAGTATTATGAAGACGAATTTGAAGGTGTGAAAGTGCTTGATGAGGAAGATAGAACCATGTTAAAATTGAAGGTACCATTCTGTACTTGTTTCCTTTTTTTTTTTTAAGTTTTTCATAAAACAGAGATAATGATTTGAGACTTGAGATTATGAAATGATGTTTTATGTTTACTCTTCAGTCAACAAACAACCGTTCAGACCAAGGTCTGAAATGTCTCTTCAGAATGTTTCTAGGGGAGAAGTTACATAGCCTCATAGTCCCTGTAATTGTCACTTTTCTAACCTTTTTTTTTTTTTTTTTTTTTTGCAGTTGTAATTTTTCAATGGAAGTAAAGATAAAAATTCTTGAAAATTGTTAGTTCATTTTTTAAAAATGTTTATTTATTTTTGAGAGAGACAGAGACAGAATGCAAGTGGGCTGGGGCAGAGAGAGAGGGGGAGGTACAGAATCCGAAGCAGGCTCCAGGCTCTGAGCTGTCAGCACAGAGCCCGATGCGGGGCTTGAACTCACGAGCTGTGAGATCATGACCTGAGCTGAAGTCAGATGCTCAACTGACTGAGCCACCCAGGCACCCCTAGTAACTTCATTTCATATAAACATAGGTATATGGAACTGCCTCTACATGTTACAGTAGACTTCCCACAATAGAAATCTCTCAGGCTCTTTCTGGAAATTCAGACTATGTTCAAAGAGATGCCTTGTCTTGAGATGTTTCCTCTCGAGAAGGCCTGGGATGGCTGTACACTCTACTGCGTACACAGGGTGTCATGAGCTATTGCCAGAGGCAGAACCAATTTTTATGCTACCTTCATGATTTGGGGTTCCCTACTATATGGGTAGGACAAATTTGAACTAAAAACCCAAAAAACAAAAAACAAACAGGGCAAAGCACAAGTCTCCAGTTTTAATTGTTAAGAGTATCTTAAGTGTATATTCTTTTATTTACTTTTTTTTTTTTAACATAATGCCCAGAGCTTCCTTGTCTTACTAGGCCAGGCTTACTAGTCCTCCCTTCACTGGGTTCATAGCCCTTCAAGTGGACTTAACAGTAGGCAGAGATCTCTATGTTAACTGCCCATCTCATGTAGACTCAAAGCCTCATCCTTTCTTTGAACTTTTGGTGTGTCTGGTAATACCTCCGTCCTGCATTGTCCTTGGCTTTTACCTCCACTGTTATAAACTAGAGCTTAGGAAAGATTAAAAATTTTTTTTTATTTTTATTTTCGAGAGACAGAGAGAGAGAGCACAAGCAGGGGAGGGCAGAGAGAGAGGGAGACACAGAATCTGAAGCCGGCTCCAGGCTCTGAGCTTGTCTGCACAGAGCCCAACATGGGGCTTGAACCCACAAACCAGAAGATCATGACCTGAGCTGAAGTCTGACTCTTAACCAACTGAGCCACCTGGGAGCCCCAAGCTTAGGAAAGATTTAAACAAAATGGTTAGTTTAACCAATATCCTTAGGTATTTGTAGTAGGAGTGTTTCAGTGTTTCTTCATCAGCTATTTTGGAAGCTTCTTCTATCACTACATACGAATTCTTGGCACATGATTATAAGTCACTTGAGGAAATGAAGAACATGCAGTTTAGTTACACTCATTTTGTAATGCCCTTGTATTTTGAACCAGGTGGAAAATACTATAAGATGGAGGAAACGCCGGGATGAGGAAGGAAATGAAATTAAAGAAAGCAATACTCGGATAGTCAAGTGGTCAGATGGAAGGTGAGCCCATAACGCCTGAAGAGCATTGACAGACCCGGAGGGAGGCCTGGGAGGCGTGGAGTTCTCCATGTGGGACCTTACTTTGGGGTCCTCTTTCACTAAAGAATTAACAAAATCTAGGCCTCTGGGAGGACACTTTAGAAATGGGCCCAAGATGTGATCAGATTCATGGTATCTGCCTTATCCGAGTAAGCGCCCAATGCTCGCTCCCATGCGCCAGGTGCTACTGGACAGTATAAATTGGTATTTTGGGAAAAATGTTTCTGTTTCACTAATGAAATGGTAGAGATTGGGAAAGTGACAAAACTATTATGTCTCAAATGGGAAGGAGAAAGGAGTTTTACCACCTTTTGCTTTAAAAAGGCATAAGTTGGGGCGCCTGGGTGGCTCAGTCGGTTATGCATCCGGCTTTGTCTCAGGTCATGATCTCATAGTCCGTGAGTTCGAGCCCCGTGTTGGGCTCTGTGCTGACAGCTCAGAGCCTGGAGCCTGCTTCAGATTCTGTGTCTCCCTCTCTCTCTGCCCCTCCCCTGCTCATGCTCTCTCTCTGTCTCAAAAATAAATAAAAACATTAAAAAAAATTAAAAAAAAATAAAAGGGCATGAGTTATTTACGGCATCTCTGTTTTTCTCAGGAGCTCAGTGCACAGTTGCACAGCATTTTAAGTAAAGCCTATAGGGGAGAATGGGAATTGTAGGATTCGTTAACATGTCCACCCCAGCACTGACCGGTGTCTCCTTTCCAGCCTTTCCCTGCATCTGGGCAATGAAGTGTTTGATGTCTACAAGGCCCCCCTGCAGGGCAATTACAACCACCTGTTCGTTCGAGAAGACACAGGTCTACAGGGACAAGCCGTCTTCCAAGCCAAGCTCACCTTCAGGTAACCTTCATACTGATGTGTTGGTACTGGCTGTTAAAGAGCAGCCAGGCCGAGAGGCCGTGCAGAAGGCCTGACTCAGCCCTGACTGACATAATTTCAGGGTGCAGCTCACCAGGGGACGTGCTCGGTTCCCATGCTGTTTTTCACTTTTGCTACAAGTTGCTGTTTCTCAGGGAGCCAGTTCATGCTATCGAAACCACCACGAGACCAGTATGTAAGCCGGGAGACCAGTGAATGAATTCACCTTGGTCAGTGCACCCGGTAGGAGGCCTAGAGGACTGGTCTGCGCAGCTCCGCCGGTCAGTGCCCTTTCCCGTGAGAGGAACACAGCTGGGAGGCGGGCGGATTGTGAGCGTGTCGTTGGCGTGTGCACGCGGCAGAGGCGGGGGAGGGGCTGGACAGGCTGCCGCCTGACCCCAAGCGGATAGGCGCTACACCCCTGTGCTGCGCTGCCTTGTTGGGCGCTTTTCCTCCTCCGCTCCTTCGCGCACCTTGCCTCTGAAGGTCATAGCGCTGTTGTCCGTCTTGCAGCTCTCCTTGAAGTGGGGCACTTAACAGATGAACAGTGCTCACAGGATTTCTTTCTTGGGGTCACGGAAATGTCCTAAAATCGGATTGTTGTAATGGTTACACCAGTTGTAATTTATTAAAAAAAAAAATTTTTTTTTAACGTTTATTTATTTTTGAGACAGAGAGAGACAGAGCATGAACAGGGGAGGGTCAGAGAGAGAGGGAGACACAGAATCTGAAACAGGCTCCAGGCTCTGAGCTGTCAGCACAGAACCTGACGCGGGGCTCGAACTCGCGGACCGCGAAATCATGACCTGAGCCGAAATCAGCCGCTTAACCGACTGAGCCACCCAGGCGCCCCTCTACCACTTGTAATTTAAAAAGTCGTTTACGCGGTGCCTGGGTGCCTCAGTTGGTTAAGCACCGACTTCGGCTCAGGTCATGATCTCGGGGTTCGGGGTTCATGGCTTCCAGCGCCCCGCCCCGTCTCCCATTGGGCTCAGCTTAGAGGCTGGAGCCTGCTTCAGATTGTGTCTCCCTCTCTCTCTGCCCCTCCCCCGCTCGCTCGCGCTGTCTCTCTCTTTCTCTCTGTCTCTGTCTCTCGCGCGCGCACGCTTCCGCTCTCTCTCAAAAACAAACATTAACAATTTTTTTCTAAAAAGTTATTTACTTGTGTATTAAAATGAGTGAATTTTATGATATGTAAATTATACTCAAATCTTTTGCTCTGTTTTAAAGATTAACAGCACTGAGGTTTAGACATTAACAGTGTCTGACTTCTGTGCAAGCTTGAAGAAGAGTGTCAATCTCACTAATTTTTAGTGTCCTTATCTGTAAATTGGAGATAATATCTACTTCACAGAATGGTGTGTCAGTTAAGTCAAATGATACATTAGATGGCATGCAGTGTGGAGTCCTGGCATAATAAACGTTGTTCGGATCCAACCTCTTAATGAGCTTTTCTCCAGTGGTCTAAAAGACAATTCTACAGCGTGCTTTTTTCCCCGTTGTGCCCTGTGTTCCACGCTCCTTATGTCCCATCTCTCGACAGCCTCAGAGACTCTCCTAAGTTAGGATCATTCTTTCTTTCTGATGTACCACCAATCTGCCTCCCTTGAGCCAGGAATGTTTTCTGCACCAGCTGTTCCTGTCCTCTGGGCTATCGTGAGGCCTCCTTGCCTTGCCCTTCCTTCTAATTGTATTTCAGATAAAGGGACTTTTAGTTCTTGAGTCAGGACTTGTGGCCTCTGCACCACCCTCACAGACCTGAGATTTCATATCCCTTCTCTTTCTGCTTGTCGTCAGGGATTTCTTTGTAAAAGCCCTTGACCCTGCCGCCTGCTCTCCTTTTTTCTCCACTCGGTGCTTCAGCCCCTCGGCATCCCCCCGGGGAGAAGGGACGGAGGGAGGAACAAGAGAAGGAGGAAGCCTCAGAGCGCCAGGACCCGAGGCCCAGTGTCCTTCATCTGCTAAAGGGGAAGGGGTCATCGTCACAGCTGTTTGTGCTCTCGGTTTGATCACCTGCGATGTTCTTAGTCAACAGTGGGGCATTCTTGTCCATCTCCCAGCAGACCTCACTCTACAGACAGTGTCACACATAGAAAGATGACCCTGCTGCTTGCTAATAGATGCTCAAGGATGCAGAAGATTAGAATCTTACCAATGGCTGGTTGTGATCCTGAGTGCCGGCGCACTGAAATGATTAAGGTACGTTTGCTAAGCTCTATGCTGGGATTTTTTGGGGGGGTATTACAGGCTTACTCTCCAGAATATTAATTCACAATTTTGTATTGCCACAACCATTTTATTTCTTATAGTTATCAGGGAGCCAACTTAAACCTAAGTGTGTGGTTAACCCTAGTAATATCAGTGGCTTCTGGTGAGATGTAGCAAATCAGACACTCAGGTGTTCTCTCTCCAGTTCATGGGATTTCAGGGAGAAATCTGACAGGTTTTATGACAGGTTATCATAAAACTTTGTGAGATATGAAGTGCTGGGAAGGTCAAAAGGACATTCCTGACTCACTCAACTAGGCTCTGTCTTGTGAACACCAGTGTGTGGATCGCCAGGCAGAGAAGGGTGCGAAGGGTGTGAAAGTTCTACTGTGGGGCTCAGGGACCCTCCCCTGCCAGCACCTCCCCATCCTGTCATCAGGAGCGACGGGGAGCTCTCTGGGGTGAGGGGCCCTGACAGGAATATGTGAGCACCATTGTAGTTTGATGGAGCCTGAGCAAGTTGGGTTGTCTGTCTCAGGGATTAACAGAAACGGCCGCCCTCAGGCGTCCACTGGGCAAGGATGAGGTTCTTCAGGCTGGTTGCTGCTCTCCAGACTCTGACTGACGGGCAGCACAAGGGGACGCTGCAGCTCCCAGGGCCGTGCCGGTGCCAGTTCTGATCGGCCGCTGGTGCGAGAGAGCCCTCGGCCTCTTCACCCTGTGTTACCTTCACGCCTTAGAACTAAAGAGAGTGATCGCTGTGTGGTAACAGGTGTGGAATGGAGACAACTATATTCTAAAGACAAGAATTATAGTAAATGTAGGTTCAAGTGAGCACAGAGGTAGTTCATATTTTTAAGTTAAATGGTTGATTTGCTTCTTTACAGAAAAAGGAACGTTTGAGGGCTTCTACTCAGCAGACAGTCCATCTGTGGGAGGGGCAGAACCAGCAGGGGCTGGGTGTCCCCTACCAGGACCCCAATAGTGTCCATGAAGAAGAGGAAGGCATCAAAGCTGTGAAAAACCATAACCAAGGGGACCTTTGAGGTAAGCTGGGCATGGAGGTAACATTTCCTCATCTGAGGGCCACAGAGACTGATGGCCTTTTACTCTCTCTCCTGCTGTTACTTACTTAGGACAACGGTACAAAGGCCTTTTGTTTTTATTTTGTGTTTGTTAGGGTCACTTTCCCACAGAAAAGCTTAGCTGGGAAGGTAAGGCACCCCCAAAATAAAAAAAATCAATTAAATAATTCTTGTTCTTATGGAGGGAAAATGTGTAATAAAGAGTTTGCTGCTTGTATAATTGACCCATTATTTATTTTTTTAAAAAAAATTTTTTTTTCAACGTTTTTTAATTTATTTTTTGGGACAGAGACAGAGCATGAACGGGGGAGGGGCAGAGAGAGAGGGAGACACAGAATCGGAAACAGGCTCCAGGCTCTGAGCCATCAGCCCAGAGCCCGAGGCGGGGCTGGAACTCACGGACCGCGAGATCGTGACCTGGCTGAAGTCGGACGCTTAACCGACTGCGCCACCCAGGCGCCCCGACCCATTATTTAAACATTGTAGTTTCTTAATGTGATCATAAAACCTCTTGGGTGTTTAAAAGTGATGAATCTGAGAACAAAACTTCTCATATCTGTCATTTCAGCATGTCTGCAAGTTATATACACTTTTTCTCATCAAAATTTTAAAAATGTTGGCTCTTCAAGGGAAAATGTAAGTGGGAAGCAACAATATTCAGAAGAAAAGCTCAGGAATAAACAGGTCTTCATCTTTGAAGTTCATTCCCACGTCTGGAGTTCGAGTTCCTTTACTTTCAGAGGAATGAGCTAGAATCTATTTTTCAGACAGTGATGGGGATCAGAAGAAGAAAAGGCTCAAAGATTACTGAGAGCAAGGAAGGTCACCAGTGATGAGATAGAACCAAATTTGTTCAATTCTAAGGGGGTTTGTCCTGAACCCAGGAGCCAACTCCTGGACTAAAAATTTGCTCACAGCCCTGGGGCACAGACAGATGTTTGTATACTTCACTGAGACTCTGGGAGATTAATGTAGTGACAGGACCAGGAGTGACCCAGAGGGTCTGACCCCTGTGATCAGGTGCATGTTGGAAGACTGCTCAGAGAAGAAGATCCCTCACTGGTGGTGAAGAAACTGTTAGCTTATGGGACACACTGACCAGGTGGGCGTTCTAGGTAGGTAGAAAGGCCTGTGAGGAAATGTGTGGGGCCCTGAGTCGCCACCACACTCAATGGGAGAGGGACCGATAGCTCTGTGTGGTGGAGCAAGACATCCATCATGTTCATCGTGGTAACTGGGCGTTCTTATTGTTTGGGTGTATGAGTAGTTGAGGGTTATTCCATTTCCATGTTATTAAAATATTTTCCCTTTAATTATTTCCTTTTCTAAGTGCAAACAAAATTTCAGTCTTAAATATACAAGGGAATCATATTTACCAAGTAAATATATAAGGGCAAAATGGGAATTATTGCCCATATGCCATATTAAAAAAATTTTTTTTTAATGTTTATTTTTGAAGGAGAGACAGAACGTGAGTGGGGGAGGGGCAGAAAGCGAGGGAGACACAGAATCTGAAGCAGGCTCCAGGCTCTGAGCTGTCAGCACAAAGCCCAATGTGGGCCTTAAACTCATGAACGGTGAGATCATGACCTGAGCTGAAGTCGGACGCTTAACCGACTGAGCCAGTCAGGTGCCCCTGCCCATATGTCATATTAATTAATTCACTGTTTTCTGAACACTTAACATGCTTCACTCCGGGTCTGGAGTCACAGGTGGGAGTAAACATTTCAGTAACACAAATGTTGAGCATGTCAGTTAAGCGCTGGTCACCTGTCCAAGGGAAGCATTCGTTTTTCATGTAAAAAATAGATTTAAAATTTTAAAAGCATACTGAGAAAGCACATAAAATGCAAGCAGTCATTTTTAAAAATCCATAGGCTTTAAAATACTTTTAGATAGGGAAAGTGAAATATTGAGGAAGCAGGAAAACATATTTCAAGTAGTATGATTGGAATGTCAGTACAGAGTGAGGAGGGAGTGTCCCTCCTGCCCTGACCACTGCCCGGGGGCAGCCCGGGGTTCGTATGGCCTGACCAGCTGGAGACAGTGTCTGTGGAGATGGGTCGCTGCTGGGCGGTCACCTTCTAATATGAAGGAATGGCTCCCCCATCAGCTCAAGACTTTTTTGGGAAATTTTTATTTTAATTCCAGTTAGTTAACATACAGTGTTACGTTAGTTTCAGATGTACAATACAGTGATTCAACACTTCCGTGTGATACCCAGGGCTCATCACAGTGAGTGCCCTCCTTAATCCCCATCACCCACCTCCCCACCTCCCCTCAGTTTGTTCTCTAGAGTTAAGAATCTGTTTCTTGGTTTCTTCCCCCCCCCCACCCCCTTTGTTCATTTGTTTAAGTTTTACACGAGTGAAATATGGTGTTTATCTCTCTCTGATTTGTTTCACTTAGCATTATACTCTCTAGCTCCGTCCATGACACTGCAAATGGCAAGATTTCATTCATTTTTATGCTGAATAATATTCCATTGTATATACCACATCTTCTTTATCCATTCTTCTAGTGATGGACACTTGGGGGGCTGCTTCCCTATCTTGGCTATTGTACGTAATACTGCTATAAACATCAGGGTGCATGTATCCCTTTGAATTACTGTTTTTGTATTCTTGGGGTAAATACCCAGTAGTGCAATTGCTGGATCATAGGGTAATTCTGTTCTTAACTTTTTGAGGAACCTCTGTATTGTTTTCCACAGTGGCTGCACCAGTTTGCAATCCCATCCACAGTGCAAGAGGGTTCCTTTTTGTCCACATCCTTGCCAGAACTTGTTTTTTATGTTTCTGATTTTAGTCATTCTACAGGTATGAGGTGATATCTCATAGTCCTTTTGATTTGCATTTCCCTGATGATTAATGATGATGAGTATCTTCTCATGTCTGTTGGCCATCTGTAGGTCTCCTTTGGAGAAAAGTCTGTTCATGTCCTCTGCCCATTTTTAATTGGATTTTTTGGTATTCAATTTTATAAATTCTTTACATATTTTGGATACTCTTTATCAGATGTGTTATTTGCACATATCATCTCCCATTCTGTAGTTTGCCTTTTTGTTTTGTTGTTTCCTTCATTGTGCAGCTTTTTTTATTTTGATGTAGACCCAATAGTTTATTTTTGCTGTTGTTTCTCTGGCCTCAGAGGACCTATCTAGAAAAAAGTTGCTGTGATGGATGTCAGAGAAATTACTGCCTGTGCTGTCTTCCAGGATTTTTATGGTTTCAGGTCTCATATTTAGGTCTTTAATCCGTTTTGAATTCACTTTTGTGTATGGTGTGAGAAGGTGGTCCAATTTCATTCTTTTGCATGTGGCTATTCAGTTTTCCCAACACCATTTTTTGAAGAGACTTTTTTCCACTGGGTATTTTTTCCTGCCTTATTGAAGATTAAGTGACCGTATACTTAGGGGTTTATCTCTGGGTTTTCTATTCTGTTCTTTTGATCTGTGTGTCTATTTTTGTGCCAGTACATACTGTTTTGATTACTACAGCTATATAACTTGAAGTCTGGAATTATGATACCTCCAGATTTGTTTTTCTTTTTCAAGATTGCTTTGGCTTCTGGGTCCTTTGTGGCTCCATACACTTTTATGATTGTTCTGGTTCTGTGAAAAATGCTGTTGGTATTTTGATAGAGATTGCATTAAAGATTTAGATTGCTTTGGGTGGTATAGACATCTTAACAGTATTTCTTCTTCCAGTATAGGAGCATGAAATGTCTTTCCCTTTGTGTTCTCTTTCTTTCGTCCGTGTTTTATAGTTTTTAGAGTACAGGTCATTCACCTCTTTGGTCAGGTTTATTCTTAGGTATCCCATTATTTTGAGTACAATTGTAAATGGGGTTGTTTTAATCTTTCTCCGGCTTCATTATTGCTGTTTAGAAACGCAACAGACTTCTGTACATTGATTTTGTATCCTGTGACATTGCTGAACTCATGTATCAGTTCTAGTAGTTTTTTGGTGGAGTCTTTCAGGTTTTGTAATGTTTATTTAGTTTTGAGAGAGAGTGTAAATTGGGGAGGGGCAGCAAAAGAGGGGGACAGAGGATCCAAAGCGGGCTCTGCGCTGACAGCAGTGAGCCCGTTGCGGGGCTCAGACTCACAATCTGTGAGATCATGACCTGAGACGAAGTTGGACAATCAAACGACAAAGCCACCCAGACGTCCCTTGGGTTTTCTATGTACAATTTTGTGTCATCTGCAAATAGTGAAACATTCACCTGTTCCTGATTTGGTTGCCTTTTATTTCTTTATGTTGTCTAATTACTATGGCTAGGACATAGAGTACTGTGTTAAATAAAAGTGGTGAGAGTGGACATATTTGTCTTGTTCCTGACCTTAGAGGAAAGGTGCTGTTTTTCCCCATTAAGGATGATGTTAGCTGTAGGTTTTTCATAGATGGCCTTTATTATGTTGAGGTATGTTCCCTCTAAACCCATTTTATTGAAGGCTTTTACCATGAATGGATGTTGTACTTTGTCAGATGCTTTTTCTGCATCTATTGAAATGATCATATGATTCTTATCCTTTCTCTTATTGATGTGCTATATTAAATTGCAAATACTGCAGCATACCACCCTTGCAACCCAGGAATAAATCCCACTTGGTCATGGTTTAGTGAATGATTTTATTTTTTTATTAAAAATTTTTTAAATATTTATTTTAATCTTTATTTTTGAGAGAGAGAGAGAGACAGAGTGTGAGCAGGGGAGGAACAGAGAGAGAGGGAGACACAGAATGTGAAGCAGGCTCTAGGCTCTGAGCTATTAGCACAGAGCCTGATTTGGGGACCTGAGCTGAAGTCAGGCATTTAACTGACTGAGCCACCCAGGCGCTCCAATGTTTGTTTATTTTTGAGAGACAGAATGTGAGCTGGGGAAGGACAGAGAGGGAGACACAGAATCCGAAGCAAGCTCTGGACTCTGAGCTGTCAGCACACAGCCCAACGTGGGCTCGAACTCACAGACTGCGAGATCATGATCTGAGCTGAAGTCAGATGCTTAACCGACCGAGCCACCCAGGTGTCCCTATTTTTTAAATGTATTGTTGGATTCAGTTTGCTGAATCCAGTTTGCTAGTATTTTGTTGACGATAGCTGAGAACTACTTTGGACAAAATTTCTAGAAATGGTTGATACTGAACTTTACATCTTATCTCGTATCTGTTTAGGAGGTGAGCCCTCCAGAAAAAGAAGAGCAGAGGTTAAAGAGGAAGAACATGACTCAAGTATGAAGTGTGTGCTCATTGTGTACAGTTGACCCTTGAACACAGATCTGAACTGCGCTGGTCCATTTACACACGGTTTTTTGATATAATGTATTTTCTCTTCCTTGTAGCTTTCTTTAATAGCATTTTCTTTAGCTTACTTTATTATGAGCATAGTATATAATACATTAAGCATGCAAGATATGTATTAACTGTTATCAATAAGGCTTCTGGTAAAGAGTAGGCTATTAGTAGTTAAGTTTCTGTGGGTCAAAAGTTGTATCGGGATTTTCGACTGTGCAGGGTTTGGGCACCCCTAACCCCAACATTGTCAGCTGCATATTATTTTCCACAGTTTATTTTTTTAATAATTTTTTTAATGTTTATTTTTGGGAGAGACAGAGCATGAGCAAGGGAGGGGCAGAGAGAGAGGGAGACACAGACTCCGAAGCAGGAGGCAGGCTCCAGGCTCCAAGCTGTCCGCACAGAGCCTAACGGGGAGCTCAAACTCATGAACCACAAAATCACAACAAGCTGAGGTCGGACGCTTCACTGAGCCACCCAGGTGCCCCATCAACAGTTTGTTTTAAAGCAATGATTAAATGACTTGTTTTGATTGAAATGATAAATCGAGTTGCTTTTGCATAATCCTAGTTGTGAATAAAAAATGTTCAAAAGCAAGCCTGTGACTTTAGAAGATCCATTTTTCCCAAGGAAGAAACTTGTTTTGGTAACTGTTTGCTCTGGGTCTTAGGTTTTTGTGCATTTCGGCTGCTCTGCCCCACCTCATCCTCCTGGCTGGGCCCAAAGGTGGGCTTAGGTTCAGGTCAGGTATCGCATCTTCCCATATGTCCTCCTGTCCTGCCTAGCTGTGTTCAGGCATCTTCTGTGCTTTGTCATCTCCACCGGCATGGCACCACCACTGACCACCTCGCCCTGGATCTTGTCAGAGCAGGTACAGCATCGGAGGGCTCATTGGACACTGGGTGCTTTGCCTAGTGCTGAACTGGTCCTACCAGTTCTAGTCCTCAGAACAACGTGAAAGGTGGGTACTCTTATTTCCATTTGGACCTGAAAGGTGGGGTCGAAAGAACTTTGAGACCTCTATCCAAAGCTTTTTCCTCCCAAGTAAAAAAATAAACATTTTTGAGAGAAGGGTCATGAGCTTTTATATGGAGCAATCACAAGGTTAAGCAGATACATTAGTGGCCTTCTGGAGAAAGACACCCAAAATACCTGAGATAAACAGTCACCATAAAATTTAGAGAAAAGAGCAGTGGGAAACAAAATACTACATTTGATTCCTGGCTTTGTGACTGGCACACCAGCTGGAATATAATGGGTACCTGATAAGTATTTACTGAATGAACAAGCCAAAGGTCTTGGGCAAGTTACTTGACTTTCTGAAGTCCGTCTCCTCAACTCAGTGGGATTTGGACTTAACCATGTAAATCCTTCATGATTTACATAGTTTTTATTTCTCTACCTCTGCAAGTTGATACTAATTGGATGTATTTTAAAAAACGTATTAGAGACTCATTCAGAACACTAAGCACCAGCACGGTTTAATCCTAAGGCCAGCTACTTCTAGCAAGGGTTGGCCCCGAGGCTCTGCTAAGTCTGCAAACAGGCCCAGGGCTGGGATCTCTAGGCCCTCAACCCTTGCAGATATAAAGGAAAGCTTCACATTTGAAGGACAAAAGATGTTTGGTGATTTTGGACCCACGAGTGGTCGGCCGCCCTCACTATTTGGTCCCTAAAAGAGCAGAGGCCACTGTGCTAGGCCTAAGGGCACTGTCTCTCCATGGCCACTCAGACTCACGGGAGCTGAGTCACCTGCCAGGGCAAGTGCCCGAGCCTCCTTACCTGGCCGAGAGGACAGGCAGCAAGACCTCCTGCAGGAGAAAATGAGCCCAAAGGCCATTCTCCCAAGGCCAGCCAATATTAAAGATGTAAGGGGACGGTGCTCGTTCGCAAAGGTTCCAGAGCTCTGAAAATGTTAATTTGCCACTTACCCCTAAAAGATTCCTCAAACCCTTTACAACACATTTCACTGATTTCCTCTTTTGCTTGGTAGATTTGGGTGACTGGTAATTAAGGTCTTTGCTGTAAAAATAATTTGTAGTTTATTAGAATTGGCTCCCATCAGGTCCAAAATGCGATGTATCATAGGACCCTGTTTCTTCACATTTGTCAACTCAATTCACTTTTATGGACAGACCAGACTGAGAACTGATGGTATTTCAAGCACATGAAATTACTATTTTTATGGGTAGAAATGGTCAAGTATTGACAGTTTATGGTTTAATATAATAGAGTGGGATAGAATAACTGGGAAAATAATAAGCTTGTTTCTGAAAAGGCATGTAAGAAATGAACTTTAGAACATAGGAACTGAAGGGATTTTTTTCACACAGTCCAAGTGTATAGAATATTTGATAAACTTTATTCAAATTATTTCAGTATGAAGTCTAAGTTCTAAATGCCTACAGTACACAATTTTCAAAAGAAACTTGACTATTAACCAAGTTTAATAATATTTTGTAATATTTATCAGTATATTTACTGATAAATATTTACTGAGTCACCCAGGTGCCCCATCAACAGTTTGTTTTAAAGCAATGATTAAATGACTTGTTTTGATTGAAATGATAAATCGAGTTGCTTTTGCATAATCCTAGTTGTGAATAAAAAATGTTCAAAAGCAAGCCTGTGACTTTAGAAGATCCATTTTTCCCAAGGAAGAAACTTGTTTTGGTAACTGTTTGCTCTGGGTCTTAGGTTTTTGTGCATTTCGGCTGCTCTGCCCCACCTCATCCTCCTGGCTGGGCCCAGAGGTGGGTAAATTAGAGTATCAGACTTAAGTGGAATTATGCAGAATTATATAAGACCAAATTAAAAAGGTATAAGAATATAAAAATCGTTGCTTATCAATACATTTTCTCAATTTAAAAATAATGTTTCTTTGGTAAGTCTGTCTTGTGGTGAGAATGACCAAAAAACATGAATGCTCAGTGAGAGCTGATAGAAGGCGCTTCTAAAGATGGTTAGACCCAAGAGCTCACAGCTTTGAGAGCAACAGTTGTTCCGGTAGGTCCACATGTCTGGTTCTCGTGGGTGCCAGGTCTTTAGTTGCAGCCACTTCGCTTTTGAATAGTATTAAGGGCATTATGCTAACTAAGGCAGAGAAAATACCGTATGATCTCATTTATAGGACTATCTAAAAAAACTGAACTCAGAGAAACAATCGCCTGGTGGTTGCCAGGGCATGGGGGTAGGGGGTGGAGGATGGGTGAAGGTGGTGAAAGCTACAAAGTCCCAGTTATAAGATGAGTAGGTCTGGAGGATGGAATGTGCAGCATGGTGCCTGCAGGTGACAGTACTGTACTGCGTATCTGAAAGTTGCTAAGAGACTAGATCTTAATAGTTCACATCACAAGGAAAAATAATTTCTTTAAAACGATATGAGGTGATGGATGTTAACTAAATTTGGGGTACATATTTTGCAATATATACATAAATCATGTTGTGTATCTTAAAGTAATACAAAGTTATATGTTAATCATATCTCAATAATACTAGAAAAAAAATTTTTTAAGTGAAGTGGCACTGTCATGGAAGAGCACGAGCACAGGACTAAACCTGCAGAGGGTGGAAGCTACTGTGATTCCAGAGAAAGCACAGTCCTCAGACGTGTGGGAGGTGCTGTGGCTCCTCACTCCAAGGGGAAAGTGAGACCTGCACGCCCTGGGAACACAGAGCCAAAAATAGAGAAGATTTTATGAAACCTTGTGAATCTTTTCATCTTATTTATTTTTTTTTAGTGTTTTTATTTTTGAGAGAGAGAGCGAGCGAGCGACAGCGAGCAAGAGAGGGGCAGAGAGAGAAGGAGACAAAGAATCCGAAGCAGGCTCCAGGCTCTGAGCTGTCAGCACAGAGCTGACACGGGGCTTGAACTCACGCACCGTGAGACCATGACCTGAGCTGAAGTCGGACGCTTAACTGACTAAGCCACCCAGGTGCCCCTCTTTTCATCTTATTTTAAGGGCAAGGATTAAATATAATGTACAACAGAACATGACTAACATTTTATGAAAACATTTTTTCTTTTATAATTTTTATTATACCGTGGAATCCCCTTTTTAAATGAAGATACATCAGATACTGTCACTGGAAAAACCATTTACAAAGTTCTATTTACATGTAACTTTTCCAGAGTGCATCTATTACACAAAGCGAGTATGTGGGTTACTTCATTCAAATAACAAGAATTTGCAATTTAATGACCAAGATAATTCTCCTTGAAATCTCTAACAATCGGTGGGTTTTTTAAAACACAAAATGTATATATGGTCTTTTAAATGACGGGCACCTTTAGGAATGTATTTCACCTATACTTAAGACTTCTACTAGAATTTAGCTACAAGTTTATAGCACCAAAATCCATTTTAATAATATCAGCATTAGTTATTAATATTGATGTTTTTCAATACAATTTCATGTAGACATACTTGAAAAATGAGATCTTCAGACAAATATAAAATTTTTCAAAATGGGCAATTAAAAGCCTTTACACAGCAATTTAAAAATGCAAAGAATATTCTTTGATTAGATAACCAGGTAAGTTTAAATTGGTTAGCCTACAGAATGTATGGTCTTAGAAAAATCTTTGGTTTAAAAATCAAGACTATGTGAGAACCCTAATCTGTTACAACGCTTTAGAGCTATATATAGAAATACTGAATGTTACTAAATGGTTAAGAGGTGCTGGAGTTTTAAAGATCAAAGTAAACACCAGTTTTCTCCCTTGTAGTTACAACTCTTGAAAAGATTTTCTGTATTCAGTTGGATGAATGTTCAGCTTTAAAGATATTGATGAAATCTTTTCTTCAATTATATAATGCACTGTCACAGCTGAGAACTGGAATGGTATAAGCTAAACACTTAACTTCTTCATACTTAGGTAAATAATCAGTGAAAAAAGATTACCCGTAAGTACCATACACACACTATGTAGGGTCTCGCTTATGTCTATTAAAAAAAACCTGATGATAGAAGGGGTAACATACTTATCAGTTCATTGACTTATAGACAAAGCAAGCAAGGAAGCCCTGGGTGCCTGCTCCGTGCTGACTCCCCATCCTGCTGGAAGGGTGCAGTCTCTAAAGTCAAGTACATTTCCAAAGTTGCATATGAAAAGGGGACACACACACACACACACACACACACACACACACAGAAACCCTTGCTAACTTGGAAAAAAAAAAATCAGTGGTCTCTAACTCAAAGGGAATAGTGCAAAGTCGATCTTTGGCCCCTTTAAAACACTGGATATTGATTCAGAAAAACAAAGACACCCACTTCTTCTGAGGGAAGCTTTTGCTCTTGAGAAGGGTTAATACCAGATCACACACAAGAAGCTGCCTAGCTCAATAAGTAAACTGTCCAGTCCAAGCCAATTGAGTGACGTTTTATAATTCAATTTCAAAAATTCTTTTTAAAAGAATCAACACATCTATCCCTACTTTTAACTGGGATTCTTCCCTTTACTCCGTGTAAGTGATAGAGGACAGTCAGGCCTCAATTTCGGGGGTCAGTATTACTCAGATTTTTTCCTGCCTGCCCTCTGTACCTGGGCCAACTCTGCCATCGTCTGCTCCAGGCGCTGCCCTGAACAGGTCCACATCCCACCATGGTACACTGTGCAAGTGCTCGTTTGAATACCGTGAGCAGTACAAAGAAACTTCTCTTGTGAGAGATTCCTTTTACACAATATGGACAAAAAAGCCAGATGATGAAAGGGAATATAAAAGTAGATGGATGAGGGGCGCTTGGGTGGCACAGTCGGTTAAGCGTCCGACTTCAGCCAGGTCACGATCTCGCAGTCCGTGAGTTCGAGCCCCGCGTCAGGCTCTGGGCTGATGGCTCAGGGCCTGGAGCCTGTTTCCGATTCTGTGTCTCCCTCTCTCTCTGCCCCTCCCCCGTTCATGCTCTGTCTCTCTCTGTCCCCAAAATAAATAAACGTTGAAAAAAAAAATTAAAAAAAAAGTGGATGGATGAAGAACAGTTTTCCCTACTGGTTGGAAAATTCGTGGAATGCCAATTCAGTATTGTTGTTGTAATTCTGCAGTGCACACACAAACTTTCACGATACTGTGCCACAATTTATACACATGCCAGTTTCTAATTTACAGTAAGCATCAGTTTAAGTGACTATTTGGCATGTGCCTCAGACTTAAATTCCATCATGTTTGTTATCTTCGATGTCATGTGTTTAATAACCGCCTTCTTTTTTATTATCCTAAATAACCAAGAGTTGACTATATGTATGCCTTTTACAGGGAAGAAAACAGCTTGTCTACTTCGATGCTTTTTACTATGAGCTTTCACAAAAATTTAGTAATGCCCACATTATTGAAATAAAAAACTATAGTGAATTTAGCCATAACTGTCCTTTTAAACAAAGTACTAGCCTGGCCAAGCTGATGACTTTGTTGAAACAAGTCCTGGTGTTGGTGACACAGTGGACAAGTGCGGTGACCAGGAATGTGCAGAAGGCCCCTTTCTCTCCCCAACAGACCGGCTTTTATTTCTCAGCCGATGACCAGATTTGGAGTCGTTTTAAAACTCTGGTATCTTGCTTTCTTGATAGAAGCAAAAAGCACACTCTTGCCAAGTTCATGTATTCTAAAACAGGAAAGGGCTCCATGTGATGGAGTAAGGAAAGCTGTGAATGTCTTGTACCTAACAGGTACAATAGCAATTCTAATGGCAGTAATGTCCCTTTTTGATTTAAAAAAGATCGGTCCTTAAAATGTTCATACTATCTATGTAAATGATTTCCTAAACTTTTTTTACAATTGCATTTTTAAACTCATGACTCCTTACAAACCATTTAAGCTAAATTAAAACTGATTTTAGCAGAAAGAAATAATGTTATAAAGTACAAAATATCACCTACTATTGATTTTGCAATTTGAAACTGATAACAATGTAAACTAGAAAAAAGATACATGTAGTTAAAAAAAAAAAAAAGATTTCCAGTCTTTTCCCTTCTATCCAGGAAAATTTTACATCTGACATCACCAGCATGAGCCCTTGGTGACCTTTTAAAGTCTCCCAAAGATTGTTATCTCGGTGGATTTACTGGTGGTCTCCTTCAACTCGTCTTTTGCGAACTGTGAGAAAAAAAGAGAGGATGTTAGAAATCCCTGTTACTTTGTACAGGGTTAACTTGCTTGTAACAAACAAGTTGCTGCAGAATCCAGTTGTACTGACATGTAACGTCCATTTACTTGTTAAGCACTGAGGGGCTTCAAAAGGAGAACAAAGACGTGTCCTCAGCTCCCCTGTGCTTACACAGTAGCATCAGAAATCTAAAATCATGGTCATCAATCACCTTTAAGTCATTGCACCCATTTGTTATTTAAAAAAATTGACACCTCTGTTAAAACAATGAATTATAAATTACTGTGTTGAATTTTGAAATGACATTCAGGAAGCTGGGATTAGAAAGTATTAAAAGCAACAAATATTTGCATGCTTTCCTGATTAGGCATTACAATGTATCTCCTTAGTTTGTGAAAGAATATACCAAAAACATTTTTTTTAAGTTGTTTGTTTATTTAGATAGAGAGCACAAGCAGAGGAAGGGCAGAGAGAAGGAGAGACAGAATCCCAAGCAGGCTCCGCACCATTAGCACAGAGCCCAATGAGGGGCTCGAACTCACAAACCATGAGATCATGACCTGAGTTGAGATCAAGAGTTGGATGCCTTAACCAACTAGCCATCAAGGTGCCCCAAACATTTTTGTCATTTTAAAGGTAAATGACTTGCTACTATTTCCCAAATTTTCTTTCTAGGGTCTCCTACAAAATGAACCAGGCTCTGACAAAACAACAAATACAAAGTAATGAAAGTCTCAGATCCTGGTAATGTGGTATAAGGTCACATGAGGGTACCATAATAAACTTTGGCCACCAAAGTGGTCAACTAATTCAGTGGATGGTGTACAGAAAGGCGCATATATCTCAGGAGTTCCCAGCCTCTTCACAGACTGATGACCCCAAACCATTAGGCTTTACTCAGTAACAGTAGGATAGAGTCCTCAGGCAGACATGCAAGTGATGTGCATAAAAGCTTGTCTAGCTACTGGCTGGGTGCTAGCTAGAAAGTAAAAACCAGGAGATAAAAAGTATCAAGTTCCCATGAACATTTTTATACTTAAATAATTAAGTACACCCCGGGCTCTAATTTTAGTTCATGTTAATGAAAAGTAGGTTTCCTGTGTTTACTGAAATACTAAGGGAAAAAATCAAATAGAGACTTGAGTCCTCAAATACAAACCTAATTCATATTTATAGATCTCTGAAAAACAGAAATATCGAAAGGTAAATCAGATTAACTCTTTAGGGTAGAACATTTCCAAGAAAAATTTGAATTGCAGCAGGGTTTGGATGTTATTGGCAGACCATTTATGATGTTAAAATGCATGTTATAGGGGCTCTTGGGTTACCCAGTTGGTTGAGCATCTGACTCTTGAATTTGACTCAGGTCATGATCCCAGGATCATGGGATCAAGCCCTGTATGTGGCTCCTTGATGAGTGTGGAGCCTGCTTCAGATTCTCTCTCTCTGCCCCTCCCCCCACCCACTCACATGCTTGCTCTCTCTCAAAATAATGTAAAATAAAATAAAATGCATGTTATTAAAAAATACATGTTGTAAACAAGATCTAAGACAAAGTGGAGCAAACAAGAAAGGAAGAAAATTAATTATGTGGTTAGCTAGTGTAAGGACAGTAATAGGAGACTCAAAGTTCAATCAAATATTGCAACATATACCATATAATCTCTTTGCTGCTACAGCTAGGACACTTCTTAGCCCGAGAGATGGGAGTAGGTAAGAGTATTTGGATGAACAGAAAATAATGAGAAGAAAAGATTATCAAAATCAACACTAAAGATCTGATACAGCCCGATTTGCAAGATGAAGAAAAACAATATGCCCAAGAGATTGTGTGTATGTTTCAAGTTTTGTTCTTTGGCATCTCTTTCTGGTAGCTACATAATTAGATTGCATATCAGAGCACATGTCTTTATGCTGGCAGCCTTGATCTGTGGGCAGCAATCAACGCGGGGCTCTAAAAAAAAGCTGCGGGTGCTAGGAGCACATAAAGTGCAAGATGGGCCCAAGAGCCATTTCCGACTCTTCCTTGGCGCCTACTTGTTACAAGCAGATCCTCGGCTCAGCCTCTAGACAAGAGGCTTATAAATTTGGCCCTATTAACAATTCTTTGGCAATTTCTTTCCAAAACCTACTCCACTAATACAGGTTCTCAATACTCTATGATCCATCAATTGCAAATAAGTTCTAACCTCATATCCTATCTCTGGAAGAGTAAATAGTTATTTTTTGAAGTATCATTTTAATCATGTATTTGGTGGCCTATAATGGCTCTCAAATGCCTCCCACAAAAAATCCAAAGAAATGAAGTTTCTTCCCATGTAATTTTAGTGCCTTCTACTAGCATCCCTCTTAATCTGCTGACATCACTTTTTTATTCTGTTAGCTTTAAGCAGCAAGTACTTATTGAAGAATTATTCTCAAGGCAGCATCCTGCAACGAGAGTCAGTTTTCAAACTCTACAAGCTGTCCTCAGTATATAAATAACTTGCTTGATCCCAAATCTGGGTTTTTATCCGTGCAATTCCCCCACTCCAGGAATGTCCTTATTCTCATTTCATGTCTAAAAATCTGGCTTGGATCAGAATGCAACAGCATGAGGTGGGGGTCTAGAGAGCTACCAACATAAAGCTGTCTGCTTTCTCTCAGTTCTGCTTCACGTCAGACCACACCTTCACCATGACCTCCTCATCTCTATTACACGTGGCCCCCGGCACCTACTCACCTGCACAATGTCAACTGAAAGCAGCCTAGGAAATAGTTTTTATGTGTTCTCTCATCTTTTGGTATATTGTTGATTCTTGATGTAATTAGTGTGACTTTGCAAATTACACTGAGAATCAACAGTATACCAAACACACCAATTTCCTAAAATGCAAGAGGCTAAAATCTTCTATGGGAAACTAAGTCATTGAAGGACAGAAAGGGTTTGGACTAATGCTCTTCAAAGTAATTTGGGTTGAGGGAAGGAGGCTGTAACATTTTCTGCATTTAAAGAATGCAAACTCAAATATGGTTGAAGCTTAAAAGAACTGCCTCACTTTGAAGTGCTATTCGGTTTAGGAAATGTTATTTTATCTCTTGTCTAAGTACCTCTTTAAAAAATCTTTCAGTGACAAACACAAAAGGTTCAATTTTTGGAAACATGTAGAAACAAAATTATAAGCATCATATTCTTTAATTCAGCCTTGGCCAGAACACTTGCATCAAACAGAAGCACAAACCTCAGCAGTATTTCAGTGGGAACCAGGAAAAAAACAAGGGCAACGTCTGACGTTGACTGATGTGCACTGCGAGAGGACAACCTGCCCGGTAATGGCTGTGTCAGGGAGACTGGTAAGGACAGCCAACACTTGTGTGCCACACACTATAAAACTTGTATCAAAACTAGAATTACTCCATATTTTATCATGTAAAACTGGATTTCTGTCTAGGCCTGTTTGATAAAAAGGGCAAAAAACTTTCCTGTCATGTTGAAATCTTTAATCAGGAGGTGGCTTGTAACAGAGAACAAAATATTTGTTACAGGTAGCATTTATTATGTTTCTCGTAGAAAACCGTTCACTTAAAGCTGTGAAATATTTGTAAGCAGACCCACTAACCCAATGATCACGACAAGTGCACTTAAACTGAACTCTACTTCAATCAATATAAAAAGGCTTGTGCAGATTTAAAAAACAAAGGCCAAGTAATTTGTGCAGATTTAAAAAACAAAGGCGAAGTAATCTGTTAACATTTTTTTTTTTAAGTAAAAAAATGTTCCTCTAATACAGTAGCTTAATGATATAATTCAGAAATTTGATTTGAAATGCATATGTCTTACCTAAGTCATTGTTTTTTGTTATAGCATTAGCTGCCCTGGTTCGGGGTCCCTGCTGTGTAAACTGATAACCAAATTTAAGGATATTTGTATTTTCCTCAAGCATGTTGGCGATTTCCAATTCCACAGCTGTCCCCAACTGCTGCCTCTGGAATAATTAAAAATAAAGGACAGTATTAATAAACTAATTCAAAATATTTTTCGAGGTAAATCAAGACTAAGATATTCAAGTACATGCTGATTCTGTTGGTCTTTTTAAGTTTTCTCAATTCTTACAATATACATAAATAAGATAAACAAATCTTAAAGTTCAGCATATGATCATACAGACATCAAAAAATGAAGATTACCAAAACAAGATACCACTTCATACCCATTATTACAGGATGACTATAATCAAAAAGACAATAACAAGTGTTGGCAAGAATGTGGAAAAATTGGGAACCTCACACATGCTGGCACAAATGTAAAATGGTGCAGTCGCTGTGGAAAACAACATGGCCATTCCTCAGAAAGTTAAACACAGCGTTACCACTTGACCTCGCGATTCCACTCCTAGGTATATGTCCATGAGAAATGAAAACCTATGTTCATATAAAAACCTGTATACGAATGTTCATATCAGTATTCCTAACGTTCAAAAGGTAGAAATAATCCAAATAGATTATTCAGCCATAAAGATTAACTACTGATACATATTACAACATGGATGAACCTGCAGACTATTTTGCTAAGTGAAAGACAGTAGACACAAAAGACCATATACTATATAATTCCATTTATATGAATTGTCCAAAATAGGTAAATGTGTAGAGACAGAAAGTGAATTAGTGATTGCCAGGGGCCGGTGGGAGGGGTGATGAAAATGTTCTGGAATTAGTGGTGATGGCTGCACAACCCTATAAATATGCTCAAAACCCATACTAAAAATACTAAGTTAACATTCTGGATGCTTCAAATGTCTTCATCTCCTTTCAGGCCACCACCTTCCCACAAGACTGCCCCAAAGCCTTCCTCCCACCTGCCTCCTAAACCCCCAGCCCCTACACAGCAGAGTGGGCTGGAGCTCCCACAGTTATCGCTGTAGAACACTGACCTGATTGTCAATCTTGAGCTCTGCCAGGGTTTCATTATCTCTCAAAGCATCAATCAGTGCTAGAATCCCAGCTCCTGTAATAAAGTTGGACTCCATATTTAAGCTCTTCAAATTTTTGTTCACTCTCAGCATATCTGCAAAAGCCTAGAAATTAAAGAAAGTATTTGAAGATAAAAATTGACAGCGTCTATCACATATTATACCTACTATAAACAAATACACTAATTCACAGAACAGCTTTGATGTTTCTCATTAGGTTGTTTTATCTTGACACACTACCTCACAGGCTTCACATGTATCTACTTTTCACAAGTACCCTGTCACAATATTTAGATTTGTCACTGTTGGTAATATTCTCTACTGCTGTTCACACTGTTATGTTCATTCACACCCTACTCCTTGCTTCTTTCCCCTGTGTCTCTCAGTTTTTCTCAGTTTCTGGGTAGGACTAACTTCATCGAGGTCTCTTTGGAACAACTTTTCTTACTTAGGTCCTACTGCAGTTAGGTTACTGTGTCACCAAAGGAGGATAAATTGTGGATTGCTTTTCAGGGCAGAGACCAGAAGGGATGCCTAAGGCAGAAGGCCAGAAAAGCTCACAGATAAGCAGAACTTAAGTTAAAACAACAGGCAAGAGGGGGCAGACAGAACTTGGGACAGGTATCTATTTCACTTTTGACACTACATAAAAAAGCTGGCTTTGAGATGGGAAAGATGGATGTGGGCAGCTCAGTGAGGAGACTATTGCAACAATTCAGGTAAGAGAAGATGGTGGCTAAGACTGACCAAGGTGGTAGTTGAGAAAGGGGTGAGAAGTAGTTGGATTCTGGAATATTTTGAAGACAAGGCTGGATATACATTTAAGGTGGTGAGAAAGGGAAGTCAAGGATGACTCCATTTCTTTCTGTCTTACGCAAATGAAAGAGTGAAGTTGTCATTTAGTGAGACAGGAATGAGTGGGAAAGGAGCATGTGTGGGAGGGAAGTCAGGAGTTCAGTTTGGGACTATTTGGGATGTCTGTTAGACATCCAAGCAAGCTGTTAAGTAAGTAGGTGGACATGAGTATGGAGTTCAGGACAGAGGCACCAACAGGGGATAATAACACTGGAAGTCAGCAGCATATACAGAAAATACACGGCAAAGAAACAGAGTGACATCAACTAGAAAGTGAGTGTAGACAGAGAAAAGAAAAGGGCCCAGGACTGAGCCCTGGGTCATTCCAATCCTTAGAGGTTGGGGAGATAAGGAGCAACTAGCATAGGGACCAGAGAAGGGATGTTCAATGAGGAGGGAGGAGAATCAAAGGGAGTGATGGCCTCAAAGCCAAGTGAAGAAAAAGGTTCATACCTTAACCCAGGAATGCAAGGTTGATTTAATATGCAAAAGTTCATCAATATAATATATCAGATTAACAGAGTAAAGGACAAAAACCACATGATCATCTCAATAGACACATTGAAAGCAATTGATGAAATCCAACACTGTAGATCCATGAATGAAATCCTCTGCAGATGTCAAAAGAAAGGTCTAGAACTTTATGCAGTGATATGAAAAGATCTCTAAGATATACTGTTGAGTGAAAAATTAAGTTGCAAAACAGCATATATTGCATGGCTTCATTTATGTTTTTAAAAATTAAAGAAAATTGGGGCGGCTGGGTGACTTAGTTAGTTGAGCATCTGACTCTTGATTTCAGCTCAGGTCATGATCCCAGGGTCATGGGATGGAGCACCATGTTGGGCTCTGTACTGAGCATGGAGCCTGCTTAAGATTCTCTTTCTCTCTTTCTCCCCGCCACTTGCCTGTTTGCACTCTAAGAATAAAAAATAAAATAAAATTGAAAAATTATAGAAAAGAAATACAGGTGGGAATGCAAGCTGGTGCAGCCACTCTGGAAAACAGTATGGAGGTTCCTCAAAAAACTAAAAATACAACTACCCTACGACCCAGCAATTGTACTACTAGGCATTTATCCACGGGATACAGGTGTGCTGTTTCAAAGGGACACATGCACCCCCATGTTTATAGCAGCACTATCACCAATAGCCAAAGTATGGAAAGAGCCCAAATGTCCATTGATGGATGAATGGATAAAGAAGATACCACATTTTCTTTGGAGTGTTACTCGGCAATCAATAAGAATGAAATCTTGCCATTTGCAACTACGTGGATGGAACTGGAGGGTACTATGCTAAGTGAAATTAGAGAATGACAAAAATCATATGACTTCACTCATATGAGGGCTTTAAGAGACAAAACAGATGAACATAAGGGAAGGGAAACAAAAATAATATAAAAACAGGGAGGGGGACAAAAAAGAGACTCATAAATATGGAGAACAAACTGAGGGTCACTGGAGGAGCTGTGAGATGGGGGGATGGGCTAAATGGATAAGGGGCACTAAGGAGTCTATTCCTGAAATCATTGTTGCACCATATGCTAACTAATTTGGATGTAAACTTTAAAAAATAAAAAATGAAATTAAATAAATCAAATTATTTAAAAAAAAAGAAATACAGGAACAAACCCATAAAAAAGATTATGTACTGCTTAATAGCTAAATATCAACTGAAAAAAGAGTAAGTCATGTTCATAAAATCAGTTTAGCCATCTCTGTAACACGCTTGTATATAGCCATCATTTCAATATTATCAATAGTAGCTTACTTACAGCAGCAACAGGGTCATTGCTCCGGGTGGCTGCAAGACTGAAATATTTCACATGTGTGTTGGTTTCCAAAGCTTTTGCAAAATCTTTTAGAGTTGGAATTGGGATATTCTTGAAAGACAATATGTGAAATATTACATTTTAGTTTTCAAGAAATTCAGTCTATTAATCAAATATATTTGTACTTTTTTTTTTTAAGTTAAATGTACTCAAATTACATACACATAGCATTTAGTCTACAAATGAAAACAAACAGCCTCCTTCATATCTACGTGATTTCCCTCTTATGGTACATCTGCACAAACTTGATCTAGAGCAGAGTATATATCATTATTTCTCTAGCATTTAAAGAAATTTCCATTATTCTGCACTTAACTATTTGGATTATAGGAAGTCAACATTAGTATTCAAAATGGATCCACTTTTCTACAGAGAGAGAGAGAGGTCACTTAGTTTAAGCTACAAGGCATTAAGTGAGATTAATCTTACACTACCTGAAATGTGGAAAGATAGACTTCTAGAAGGCACTAATTTCTCCCTTTAGTACCAAGACTACAATTCCCTGTAGCCTGGTTATTTTTTGACCATTACTGTTGATTTAGAATGTGAGGATTTTTTTTTTTTTTAATTAAAATTAGTGATCAACCAGAAATGTTAGCTTTTTCCAAGGCTTTCCTTTTTTTGCTCAGAGGAAGGAACAGCTGCTAAAAGAACAGAAAGGTCTTATTCTCTAGCTTCTTATAATTACCAGATGCTCCCACAGCCCTCAAAAGGCATAAAATGAGGAATTAAAAAAATAATAAAATAAAAAGGAATTCTTAATGTAGCTCTTATACAATGACCATTACTCTAGAGATAATTTGAATTTACTCTTCATAAATTTAATTTAATTATCCCTAGGCCCTCCTACCTCATTTCTCCTTTACTCCAAGGAAGAGCTACATTTTTAATAACTCAGTAAGATCCCAGAAAGCCTACTTCTAGGTGTCTACTCAAGAGAAATGAAAACATGTTCGCATGTTCATTATGTGTTTAATGGCTTTATTATAATCATCCCAAACCAGAGAGAATCCACAGGTCTATCAACTGGTGATTGGATAAACAAACTACAGCACATCCACACAACAGAATACTGCTCAACAAACTGATACATCCAACCACAGAGATGAATCTCAAATGCATTATGCTAAGTGAAAGAAGCCAGACTCAAAAGACTACATACTATATGATTTCATTTGTAATGCATTCTGGAGAAGGCAAAATGATAGGGAAAGAAAACATATCAGTTGCTGTCAGGGGCTAGAGCTGGGGGCAGAAAATGATGACAAAGGGGAGTAACATGTTCTACATCTGTGGTGGTGGTGATCTTACAACTTATGCATTTGTCAAACTCACTGGACCTGTACATGAAATAGCGAGAGTTTCACTATGTATCAATTATAGCTCAAGAAACCTGATTATAAAAATAAAAAAAAAAAAAAAAAAAAAAAGAACCCAAAAGACTAAAAAACTCTTTTTACTTTGAGAGCCAGAGAGATTTATGCTGACAGTCTGTAGGGTTTACAGGTTTACATGCTACTCTTTAAAAAGCAAGTCAGAAAAATATTACACCTTAAGCTCTAGGAATCTAAGCATACTGTTGGGACCAAAAACTTTACCTTTAAGTAGAAAGAACTACACTATATCAAAACTGCCCAAACTCTCATCCTACAGCTGACTCAAAGCAATTAAAAACTTTATTAGTTGCTTAGCATACCTACCTTTATATTATTCAAATTGACTTCAACAAGACGAACATCATTTTCTTTAATTCTCTTTAAAGTCTCTTCAACATTGGTTGGATTTGGTGGCTCATCAAATACTGGAAGAATCTTTTCACCTTTCACCACATCTGTAGTAACAAATGAAAAAAGTGTCTTATTGGCTGATACTATTACAGTGAATTCATATATGAACTTGATCACACACACATACATGCACGTTCAATAGAACTAACCAGAAAGCTCCCCCCACCAATTTCTAAAAGATCCGTTATGTGTTGACACATATTTAAAGCACTCAAATAAAATGTTATCCTCTTGTATTGTTTTCTCTGAGATTTAATTAGTAATTACTGTAAAAGCAGTAAGAATCACAGACTTGAAGAAACATAGCCTCGGTGAAAAGAGTAAAGTAAAGGAAGGATACATGACCTCTTTCTCTTATGGGGAGTACTACACCTGGGGAAAGGGGGAGGACGAGCAGGAACAGGGAATGGGGAGACAGAGAAGCAACGGTATATAGAAGAGCTACTGAGACAGAAATCCCCCAAATTACTGCCCTCCTTCACTTCTATCCCCCAATCCTTCATCATGTATACTATACCCACACACATAGCCAAAATACAACTATGCAAAGTTGAAAGAGGACATAAAAGCCTTGAATCTTCTAATGAGATCTAAGTGCACTCTGATGTGTGTGTAAAGGTCTATGAACACGTGTAACAGGCAAACTTTTATGGATAAATTTTCTGGGGAGAAAACCTACAGCATCAGATTCACAAAGAGTCAAATGACATAGAAAGATTGACAAGGTCACTGTCTGGCTTAGTTCTTCCTTTCTGCCTTCCTCTAGCTTTTTGTAGCAAAACTCATCTTAAGACAAAGTATACTGAGGGGCGCATGGGTGGCTCAGTCAGTTAGGCATCCGACTTCAGCTCAGGTCATGATCCCACGGTTTGTGAGTTCGAGTCCTGCATTGGGCTCTGCTTCAGATTCTGTGTCTCCCTCTCTCTCTGCCCTTCCCCTGCTCATGCTCTCTCTCTCTCAAAAATAAATACATAAAAAAAGACAAAGTATACTGAATAAATTCCCTTCTTCTTTCAAAATACCACACACATATACACATAGCATCCTGAGGAGATCAACTTAGATGATGGTCTGAAAATTATTTTCCTGAGGAGAGTTGAAACATCTGGGTGTATCTAGACTGGACATATATATTAAAAGGAAGTATGCACATTGTTTTCAGATTTATCCTGTAGAAGGAGAAGAGAGAATTTCAAGTTGTTCTGAAAGGCTGGGTTAGAACAGGTGTAGGTTGCCAGGAGGCAGAATATGGTTCAATACAAGGACCAGCTTCCTATCAGAGCTCTGCTAAAAGGACAGAATGGGCTCCCTCTCACATAAGTTCAGCAAGGTAATCTTCTCCAAGACTATAGATCAAGGGGGCTGGAGAAAAAAGATTTCTTACCATAAAGAAAATTAAGTTCTATCTCAATTCTAAACTTTATAAAACCAAAATATTTCTTTCTTAATTCCACAGAATATATGTATTTAAAAAGCTTTACTTCTGAATAAAGTAATGGATCCAATAAATGGAATGCTGAAACTATTAAGAAAGGCTCATGGGAGACTTTAAAATGGATCGATCAGGAGGCACCTGAGTGGCTCAGTCGGTTAAGCATCCGACCTTGATCTCCACTCAGGTCCTGATCTCAGGGTTGTGAATTCAAGCCCCATGCTGGGTTCCACACTGGGTGTGGAGCCTACTTGAAAAATTTTTAAAAAGGGATGGATCAGGCTGCTAACATGTGAACACAATGATGACTTTTGGCACATTCCCCAAAGAGGAATGACCAGACTTGATATATGATTCAATTACCACTTAGGAAGCATTCTTGCCCCAAAAACCAAAAAGCTGCACATACGCCTCTAGAAAATAATAGTTTTCAGAAACATAGAAGACAGAGAAATATGTAAAATGATACCACAAGGGGAAGATGGTGATGGAGTAGGAGGACCCTAGGTTCGCCTCATCCAATAAGTACAATTGGGTAAATCTCAGATCATCCTAAATATCCCAGAAATCAACCTGAAGACTAGCAGAACAAATCACAAGTAAAGGTAGAAAAGAGGCAGACTGAAGAAGGTAGGAAGGGTGAAGAATCAGTTGGGGAGAGAAATGGATTTGTGGCCTCTGTGGTAGGGAGGGAGCTGTAATCAGGGAGAAGGATGAGAGGCAGACTAGCACTCAGGAAGGAGCACAGGATAAATGGGTCCCACAAGCAACTGGCTTGGAAGGTGAGTGGGCCCGAATTTCATGAGTTCTTGCAACCAGTGGGCCTTAAGGCCTGGAGTTTTAAAGGTCAGTGTGCTTGGCTGTGGGAGACCTCGGAGGATATTGAGGCTGCTGGAGAGAAGACAGGCGAACAGCCTGTGGACATACAGCGTGGAAACAACAATCTGAAGAGCGCCTGGGACATACAGTGGGGAGGTTAGTTGCCTCATCTCAGACTGTGTCCCAGAGAAGCAGCATTCATGGACCTCTTCATAAAACCATTACCCTTAAGAAAAGGACACATAGCTGACTTTCCTAATACAAAGAAACAGGCAGAGAGACTTAGACAAAATGAGAAGGCAGAGGAATCTGTCCCAAATGAAACAACAGGGCAAGAACATGGCCAGAGATCTAACCAAAACAGATATAAGTAACATGTCTGATGGAGAATTTAAAGTAATGACCATAATACTCACTGGGTTTGAGAAAACAGTGGAGGACATCAGTGAGACCATTACCACAGAGAAAGAGAATAACACACCAGAGATAAAGGGCTCAAAAAAAGAAATGAAAGACAGGCCTGAAGGAAAGAACAGGATGGAAGAAGCAGAGGAATGAATTAATGACCTAGAAGACAAAGTAATGGAGAGTAATCAAACTGAACAAAAGAAAGAAAAAATAATTATGCTTATGCAAAATGAAAATAGATGTAGGGAATGCAGTGACTCCATCAAACATAGTAATATTCATATTATAGGAGTCCCAGAAGTAGAAGAGAGAAAAAGGGGCAGAGAATTTATCTGAAGAAATGATAGCTGAAAACTTCCCTAATCTGGAGAAGGAAACACATATCCACATCAGGAGGAACTGAGATCCCTCAACAAAATCACCAAAGAATTTCCACACCAAGACACATTGTAATTAAAATGGAAAAAAATAGTGATAAAGAAAAACCATTAAAAACAGCAAGACAAGAGAAGACAGTTACAATACAAAAGAAACCCGGTAAGGCTATCAGAATTTTTCAGCAGAAACTATCCAAGCCAGAAGGGAATGCCATGATATATTCAAAGTGCTGAGTGGGAAAAACCTGTAGCCAAGAATACTCAATCCAGCAAGGCTATCATTCAGAATACAAGGAGAGGGGTGCCTGGGTGGCTTAGTTGGTTAAGCGTCCAACCGTTATTTCGGCGCAGGTGGTGATCTCGTGGTTCGTGAGTTGAAGCCCCACATTATGATCTGTGCTGACAGTGTGGAGCCCATGTCAGATCCTCTGTCTCCCTCTCTCTCTGCCCTTTCCCAGCTTGTGCGCTCTCTCTCTCTCTCAAAAATAAATATATTAAAAAATGTTAAGAATAGGAGAAATAAAGTTTCCCAGACAAACACTTAAAGGAGTTCATGACCACTAAACCTTCCCAGCAAGATATATTAAAGGGGACTCTTTGAGTGGAAAAGAAAGACCAAAAGTGACAATATGAAGGTAGGAAACACAGAAGCAGTAAAAATGAAGATTTCTGTAAAAAATGAGTCAAGGAATTCACAAAGTAAAAGGATATAAAATACGATACCATATACATAAAACATGGGGAAGACAGAAGAATGGGTTCAAACTTCACTACCAGCTTAATATATAAACTGCTATATGCATAAGACATTATATACAAACCTAATGATAACCAGAAATCAGAAACTACAAACTGGGGTGTCTGGGTGGCACAGTTTGTTAAGTGTCCAATTCTTGATTTCAGCTCAGGTCATAATCTCATGGTTTGTGGGTTGAGTTCTGCATCAGGCTCCACATTGACAGCATGGAGCCTGCTTGGAATTTTCTCTCCCTCTGTCTTGCAAAGTAAATAAACTAAAAAAAAAAAAACAACCAAACTAATAGATATGCAAAGAGTAAAGACAAAGAAATCCAAATATATCACTAAAGAAAGCCAACAAACCATGAAAGAAAAGATCAGAGAAAATCTGCAGAAACAACTACAAAACAAGTAAGAAAATGGTAATAAATATGTACCTATAATTACTTTGAGTGTAAAAGTACTAAATGCTCCAATCAAAAGACACAGGATAACAGCATGGATTAAAAAAACAAGACCCATCTATATGCTGCTTATAAGAGAATAATTCTAGACTTAATGACACCTGCAGATTCAAAGTGAGGGGATGGAGAACCATCTATCATGCAAATGGATGATAAAAGAAAGCTGGAGTAGCAGTGTTAATATTGGACAAAATAGACCTTAAAACAGAGACTGTGGGGCGCCTGGGTGGCGCAGTCGGTTAAGCGTCCGACTTCAGCCAGGTCACAATCTCGCAGTCCGTGAGTTCGAGCCCCACGTCGGGCTCTGGGCTGATGGCTCGGAGCCTGGAGCCTGTTTCCGATTCTGTGTCTCCCTCTCTCTCTGCCCCTCCCCCGTTCATGCTCTGTCTCTCTCTGTCCCAAAAAAAATAAATAAAAAACGTTGAAAAAAAAAATTAAAAAAAAAACCAAAGACTGTAACAAGAGACAAAGAAGGACACTATATAATAATAAAGGGAATAATCCAACAAGATAGGACGATTGTAAATATTTATGCACCCAAAATGGAAGCACCCATATACATAAAACAGTTATTAACAAACATAAGGGAACTCATCAGTAATCATGCAACCATAGTAGGGGACTTTAACACCCCACTTACATCAATGGACAGATCATCTAAACAGACAATCATCAAGAAAACAATTGATTTGATTGTCTGGACCAGACAGATTATTCAGAACATTCTATCCTAAAACAGTAGAATACACGTTCTTTTCAAGTGCACATAGAACATTCTGCAGAACAGATCATATAGTAGTCCACAA